CGTCTTCCTTGACGTCGGGCTATACTACCAGTATCACGGTAACGAGCGATGCTACGATACACAAAAGATTTATTCGCATTTAAATGCTGGAGTGCTCTAACGATAGTCACTTGTGGCTTTCCAGCCAAATATAAAGAAATCACACCATCACGCTTGAATTCCATCACAAATAAGTTTTTTTTTCTGGAAAATTCTCCCCAAAATGATTTTGTACGCTTGTAAACAATATAATGAGCTGTCACTGGAATAATTTTAACAGCTGTCGGACGAGTGGCTTAGAAATGACAGCAGTCTGAAGTTGGTTGCAGTTTCTTCATCTCACCCTATATACCCCCTCTCTAGCCATATGGCTGAGGGTATAATAAAACACCACGGAAGTATAACAATAATTTTTTATTTTGCACAAAACATATGCTTAATTATTCATAATTGTTTTATTGAAAATTGTTGAATATTGAATTATGGTCAAATATAAGGAAGATACTTTTTGTAAAGACGTTGAAAATCGGCTCGTGTGGTGGCAAATAAAAAATATTCAATAGCTGAATATGGATTTTTATTATGATTGTTAAGCAGTAACAGAAAAATATTTGTTGCACCATTTCGACTTTTCAAAAATATTGGTATTTTTCTTAAATTTTTCTTTTCCATTCATTTGAGCGCTACGTTTTGCTTTGTAAACCCAACCTTTTAATTTCCTCTGCCATTTTGAAAGAAGCACTTCCATAATTATGTCTATGAGTGCCAACATTCATATATGTTATTTCGCAGTTAGCAACCGTTGAAATTTGGGCTAAAATTATAAAAATACCAAATATCGAGGGGTTATGTTATATGAACTAGTTCGCTATTTCGGATAATTGGAAATACAAAAATATATAAAAATTTTCAGGATTTGACAAATGTACCATCATCATACACACTGGTACCCCAATTTTTATTTTTTCCTCCCTATATAATAGAATTTTTCCTCATTCTGCAGAGTATTAAAAATTCAACCGGGGCAAAATTGTTCTCCCAACTTACCTGCGATTTTATTTGTTTACTATTAAAATTGTGAAAGCAAAAATCGAAAAAAAACGTGACTAACATTCGTGCTTATATTTCATCATTCTCCTACTTCCATTTCTAAAAGTTCAATCAACTTTGGTGGATGACAAACCAAAAAAAAAAGTGGTTGTCTGGCATAGATTCATAATTAATTCCGTAAGATTTGGTTTTGTTTTTTTAAGTCTCGACGAATTATATTCATATTCGTTATTCCAAAAGGGGGGATTTTTCGTTTGTCTGCGTTTCGATGATACGATTTCTTTATAAAACCAGTTGCTATTTATGTCTATAATTAATCAATAGGTCATGGAGGCCGGAGATGAAATATCATAAGAAAGTCATTAAAAGTCATTTAAAAATAGTGGTTAGCGGCAGTTTTTTTAACAAATTAAAAACAATAAATATACTTTTCTCAATTGAGTTAGTTGGGTTATTGTAATACATTGGTGTATATTGAATTCATATAAAGTTTTCAATTTACAGAATGTGTCTATTCTGGGATTAATTTACCATTCTGAGAATTATAAACTTCTCTAATCCACATCCAATCACATGACACCAATTAGCATCGAATTTGGTGCTTAATAAGTGACATCACAAAAACCGATAATCACAAAATATATGATAATCTTATTGCAACGCCTAAATGAAATGACACGTTTTTTTATTCAGATATAATTTTATAACTAATTCAACAACATTTTGAAGTAACTTGAAAAAATGCTTGATTTTTAACCGTTTCCACCCGCCTCTGTATCCCGCGAATGAACTTAAATAGAAAACTAAATTTTGTCATGAGCGGGCTGGAAAAATATATTTTTACTAACAAGTGCCAGCTACTTCATCAGAAAATAGTTAACCTTAAAAATTTAGATTCGTTCCAACAGTTCATGTTAGGCCTTTTTTTTGTACTCGAAATGCAAAAAAATGTTAATAAAAACTTCATATACTGTACTTAATTTCAGACTGTCAAGGTTTTATATATTATTGAAGTATTTCCTTTTTCGGAAAGAATAATAGGAAAAATTTTTAACTTTTACACCAAAAAGTCTTCAAAATCTTTCGTTATGTAGTGTACCGTTGCGGATATTAGTAAAACCATTGCTAAATGGACCCATATCTGATTTTTGTACCCAAAATTATTTCAACCGGTCCATATGTAAACACTAGGAACCTTTTGCTACATTAAATACCAAATTTAGTAACATTTAGTACGCATATCCGAAAAAATCTACATCTTTCCATCCCAGACAACAAATGTGATCCAAAATTAGTACCATTTAGTACCTTTCGAACAATTATATTACGCATTTCAAAACCACCTCTATATCTCAATCTTAGATACCAACAGAAACCCCAATTTCAAATTTCGTGACTCCAACTCAACCTCTTCACTTAGTACTTTTGGAAAAAAATATAGTACATAATTCCAAAACACCTACATATTTTAACCACATACACCAACAGTGACATCAATGCCAAATTTGAGGATTTCAGCACTATTCTTTCACCCAATACCAAATTTAGTACTTTTCGTACATTTATAGTACACATTTCCAAAACCACCTCCATATCTCAATCCCAGATTCCAACAGATACATCAGTATCAAATTTCAGAATTTCAGCCCTATCTTTTCACCCAATAAAAAATTAAGTACTATTTAGTACTTTTCGTACAAATATAGGAAGCATTTCCAAACCACTGTCTCAACATCTCTCAACACATTACCATCAGTGATCTAATTATCAAATCTCAGAATTTTATCCCTATCCCTTCACTCAATACCAAATTTAGTACCATTTAGTGCTTTTCGTACAATTATGGTACACATTCCCGGAACCACTTCCATATGTCCAGGCTACATATAAACAGCGACCCACATTCCAAAATTTCATGTACTATCTGTTCACCACCTTCATATATAAATAACTTATTTATCAAACTTGATTCTCATTCCAAATTTCTAGCCGATCACATAATACCAAATTGTACCATTTTGGAAGTTTAGTACCAAATTTTCAGATTCTAGCTTCTGCCGTTTGGCCTAGATCAGTCAATCAGTTGTTTCATTCCCCTTTTATATATATAGATTTCAGAGGTCATGGAATTGCAATTTTCGAAAAAGGAAAATATGGTCATACAATTTTCGAAAAAATGCTATTTTTCAGAGAAAAAGTTGTGTTGGGCTCGATTTTTGCTCATTTGTGCCATTTATATTTTCAGGGTATTATGTCTTTGTGCATTTGTTTGTAACATGCAAAAGGAAATGATATAGACCAATAGTTCCTTTTGATGATGTGCATAGAATCACATTCTAAGTCGATATATGCATGTCAGTCCGTCTGTCCGTCTGTCCATGTTTTTTTTGTAAACAAAGTACAGATCGCATTTATTGCTCGATCCAGATAAAATTTTGCACGAAGGACGAACCCTATTGAAATTTGAGATAATCGGTCAAAATTTAGATATAGCTCCCATATATAACTTCGTCCGATTTGCTTTTTATTGTCCACCAAACGTGTAATATCAGCCCAAATAGTATGGATTTTTGCACACACGACCAGATTGGGCTTGAAAATAAGTATGCCGAATGTAATTGAAATCGGTTCAGATATAACTATAGCTCCCATATATACTGTTCATCTGATTTGTTATTTTTGTCCTCCGCAGCCGTAATATGCACTGTGTAACAACGATATTTGGGGAAATATAACAAATACAACTCAGAAATACCCTTGCTAAATGTTATCGAGATCGGTTCAGATTTGGATATAGCTCCCATATATATCATCGTCAGATTTGCTGTTTATTGTGCACTAAACGTGTAATATTAGTCCAAATGAAATGGAATTTGGCACTTACGATCAAATTGAGTCTAGAAACAAGTATATTGGAATTTGGTGGAAATCGGTTCAGATATAACTATAGCTCCCATATATATTGTTCATCTGATTTGTTGAATTTGCCCTGCACAATCTTAAAATGGACTCGTAGTAGCGATATTCGACGAAATATACCAGAAATACCTTTGCCAAATTTTATCAAGATCGGTTCAGATTTGGAAATATCTCCTATATATATCTTTATCCGATATTCCTCTCATATATTAGTTCCTTTGGACTTTAAATTATAACTATAATCCTAGTTGGTATGATTTAATTCTCACAAATTTTGCATAAAAACTTTTATTTTTTTATGTGAGCTCTACTAAATATGTAAAGTGGTGTAGGGTATCATAAAGTCGGCGCGTCCGACTTTAAGACTTTCTTTACAGGTTCTCAGTAGTTCTAGCCATTTTCGAGATATAACCACTTATAAAAACTAGTAGTTTATGGGTAAATCGCTGCAATTTCTTGTAAAAAATCAAATGTCGAGATGTCTATTTTCGAATATAAGATGTTTATATTATGAGTGCATTCTAACTTAGGTATTCTACTTTTCGCACAGTGGCCCTCAATGAAAAAATATTTTTTTTTTCAAAATGTCGAAAAATTTTTCATCGCAAATTAGTTTCCTCAAAAATTTAAAATTTGTCGATATCCTAAATTGATTTTAAATGTAGGGGTATTTCTTTTCACACAGTTGCCTGTTAAAATAGTTTTCTAAAAAAGGCCAAAAGATTTTAAATATTTTAAATTTATTTTGAATATACATTTTTTGAATGTTTTTATCTGTTGATCAATTTGTTTTGTTACATTTTATTCAATGATGTTGTGCTTATTGATCAGTTTTTCTTTTAATAAAAGAGAATACAACAATTTTTTACTTTTTTTCGCCCGACATTTGGTAGCCGCTTAGGAAACCTGGAAGAGGAAGCGTATTATCGCACTTTTGACACAGAATAAATCGAAAATTGATTTGTGTAAAATATCTCGTATATCTTTCTTTTAAAAAATCAATATTTTCGATTGAAACCATATAATCAAAATTTTCTCAATTTTTTTTGCAGTTTTCCCAATAAACAACGGCCCTTAAACCTTGACAAAAAGTAAAAGTTCTACTCTGGGAACTTATTAAAATAGCGGAAAAAACAATACAACGCCACCACCAATTAAATCACCAATCAATATTCGAAAAGAAACATTTAATAGAATTGTGTGAAAGCATTTATTTCTTTCAACCGGATATTTCCAGTTACAAAACCCACTGAAGAAAAACTACAACAACAACAGCAAAAATGGTGAACATAACTGTAAGTACAGAACAATAACAATTTGTCTATTGTATTGAATTGTTGGAGATTTTTTAATAGAAAAACAAAAAAAGAATACATTTATTAAACATATTTTAATTGAATTAATACGAATTGTTTATTAATGTTTCTTCTTTGTTTGTTTTTTGTTCTCTTCGTTCAATTGTCCAAATTTTAGGATAGCGGTGGCAAACATGCACCCCAAGAAATGGAACAATTCTTGCCCGGCGATGGCTTGGCCGGAAATACAAAGTGAGTATATATACGATACATACAGACATACAATGCGTGAATATATTTTGGTGGCTTTGTTTGACTTTCTTTGTCATGTGAGTTTGGCGGGATCAATGTGCTCGCAGCACGTGATGGAAATTTTGCTGCCGAAATTCGGCAATACAAAGGGAAATTATGTCACATAAAAATGTCATAAAAATTATATGGGGATTCATGAAGTAGAAAAACAATTAAGTATTTATTAGAAGACCATGAACTGTAATCACGAAAAATTTAACTGAAAAAGGTCATCTCAAATGTAACAAAATTGATTACTTGCCTTTGAAACCCGTACAATGACAACATATTTGTAAAACATATTGATTAAAAAAAATGGTAAACAACAAGAAGATGGAGGAGAATCTCATCACAATGTGGACGTCGTCACCACCCATTTTATTTTGACATGTTAAAACTGGAATGACCTTCCCTCTTATGGCGTTGGTCAAAGTATGGACAAGAAATTATGGGCGAATATTAAAGCTTTTCCTCTCAATTAAGTCAGATCGTGTTAGACATTTTTTTTTGGAACTCAAAATTTACAATTTGTTTAGTTTGACAACATTTTTTAATCAAAACTCGTAGTAAATTTCCAGATCAGCTTTTATATATTATTCATTTTTTTTTCTTTTTCGGAAAAAATAATAGGGAAATGTTTACCTTTTTACACCAAAAGTATTCAAAATCATACTTTTTGAAGTTTTTTGAGGAGGATATTTATGAAACCATTGCACAATGGACCCACATCGAATTTTTTTTTGCTGTTCAAAACTATTTCAATGTCTCCATATATAAACCCTAGAAACCAATAGTGACATCATTATAACATTTCTGAAATTCAGCTCTATGCATGCACCCAATACCAACATTTAGTTACGTTTAGTATGTATTTCCAGACAATCAACATTTTTTAATTCTAAATACCAAAAATTGATCCAAATTTAGTACTATTTAGTTCATTTCGTACACGTGTAGTACACATTTGCAAACCCACCACATACCAACAGGGATTTCAATATCAAATTTCGAAATTGCAACTCTATCTCTTTACCCAATACCCAATTTAGTACCACTTAGTACTTTTCGAACTATTGTAGCATGCGTTTCTAAAACCACCTCCATATCTCAATCCTAGATACCAACAGAGACCTCAATATCAAATTTCAGGATTTCAGCTCTATTCCTTTACCCAATACCAAATTTAGTACATTTCGTAGTAGTATGCATTTGCAATACCGTTTTATATCTCAACTCCAGATACCAACATAAACCTTAATATCAAAATTTTGGGATTCCAGCTGTATCCCTTCACCCAATACCCAACTTAGTACCAGATATCTCCATATCTTAACCACAGACATCAACAGTGACATCAATATCAATAATTTCAGGATTTCAGCTTTATTCCTTTACCCATTACCAAATTTAGTACCACATATTTAGTACTTTTCGTACAATTATAGTACACATTTCCAAAATCACCTCTCAATTCCAGATACCTCAATATCAAATTTCGGAATTCCAGCTCTATTTCTTCACCCAATACAGAGTTTAGTACATTTTAGTACTTTTCGAACAAGTATAGTACGTATGTCCAAAACCACCTCCATCTCAATTCCAGATAACAATATAGAATTCAATATCAAATTTTAAGATGCCAGCCCTATTCCTTTATCCAATACCAAATTTTGTACCATTTAGTACTTTTCGTACAAATATTCGACGCATTTCTAAACCACCACCAAATCTCAAACATAGATACCATCAGTAATTTAAATATTAAATTTCAGAATTTTATCTATATCGCTTCACCCAATACCAAATGTAGTACTATTTAGTATTTTTCGAATAAATTCAGTACATATTTCGGAAACCACCTCCGTATGTCCAGACTACACATAAATTTCAGATTTAAAGTACTACCAGTGCACCCAATTCCACATTGTAACAAATATAGTTCTGTTCAGTACTTTTAGTGCACTCCATTACAAAATTTTAAAATTCCAACCAAACTGTTCCAAATTTAGTACCATTTAGTACAGCTCGCACACTTAGTAAACATTCCAAAAACCAACTTCATATATCAAACTTACTTTCCAACTTTGATTTTCACATAAAAATTGATTCTCATACCAATGGTACCAAATGGTACCATTTTAGAGGTTTAGTACAATTTTAGAACTTTTCGTTTACCTTAAAGTTTGAATTTACAAAATCCCTTGGTACATCTATCCTGCACTCCATCAGTGACTTTCATTCCAAATTTCAGAATTTGTCCAATGCAAAGTAATCAATTTTTAGTACATTTGAGTACTCTTCGTACTCTTCTAGTATGAATATCCAAAAACCCAATCTTATCCAAAGTCTGGCCCTCGAGCAAAATTTCAAGTTTCTAGCATCAGCCGTTTTGTCTGGACGTTGATTCTCAGTCAGTCATTTCGCTACTCTTTAATAGTATTTAGTTACATACTTTGGGGAGAAATGTTATCACAATATTGACATATAGATGTCGTCACTGCCGTTTTTATTTCGAGATGTTAAAATTAGCATGACCTTCGATCTTATGGTTTTGGTTATAAAAGAAATATACCTTGCGCTGAGCTTTAAACACAACGAAAGCAATCCATTCTTGAAGTTTTAAGCTGAAGGTAATGAAATAAATACTAATGGCAGTTGGTGGACAGATGCATCACAATATTGACGTGTAGATGGCGTAGCTAGTGAAAGTATTAATCCGAATTATTTAAAGTTTAACTGTTGAAATACATATGGTCGTTATCTCCTGAATTTGTTGAATTGACTACGGAGATAATTTAGGCAATCCTTCGATATAGTTATGTCTTAAATGCTTAACCCAGACAGTTTAAAAAGTGAAATATATTACTGGTGTTAAAAAATTATATTCAATGGGAAACGGTTTATTTATTAGTTTCTCATTTTTCCATTACTGAATCAAGAAAAATGTAAATAAATATTGATATTTTTAAATGTGCAGCTGCAGCGAGATTAGGACAATTGTCATAATATTAACATATAGATGGCGTTCTTTTCAACCTACGTATTTATTAATCACATTATATTATATATTATATTTTACATAATTTCAGACCATTCACAACAAAATTTTTTCTAAAATACATATGAATCTTCTAATAACAACTACAAAAAACTGTCACGCAATCAATGACACATTGTCATAACTTTGCCGTTATTCATTTGATATCGGCCAATTTCGCAATTATCTTTTCTAGCGGAAATAATTTATTAAATCTATTAGATGGACAATAGTCAGTTGGGGATCAATGTATTGAATGTGGAGGGCCAGACATGACAAAACTAGATATACATATACACGCAACAATAAGTCCAACTAATAAAAGGCATTATTAAATTATTTAATTGTTTCTTAGATCATGCCATGTCTGATTCGAAAAAAATTTCTCCTTCAATTTTTTTTGTTTGTCCAAATTGGATATTAAGCTGGTAATTACTATAAAGGTTCATTTCTGTTGACTTTTTGTAGTTTATTTGTACCTATATACACACATAGTTTTTTGGAGAGAAATAATTAAACTAATCTTTAAAGTATATGGTGGAGAAATACAATTGCAAAATTTAGGATCTTGCAAATACTTTGCAATATCATCGATATCGGAGCACACGCAAGGAATATTCAGAATTACAATATGTGTTGCTTTCACTCCAACAAATATGAACATAAAATGTCACATTCGTAGGTTATGTTTTTGGTTCAATACTAATACCATAATTGTGTAATCAACTAAGCTTTTTCAGTCAATAAGCCTGATATTCATAAAGCTGAGCTGGCGAGGATTATTATACACTTAGCTATATGGCTAGAGAGGGTATATATCATTTGATACGGCAAAAACGTGCCTCATCGAAACGGTTTTAACGGTTTTAGATCCTAGGTCTATTTGAACCAAATTCGTTTCAGGACATTTTGAGTCGATCTAGCGATGTCCGTGCGTCCGCCTGGCTGTCTGGTGCGAACGACAGCTCTGGAAGGGAGTATCCAATTTGGTCCAAATTTCGTACATCGTAATATTATGAAACTTAAATCGAGTTCGGTGAATATCGGTCCACTCCTTCTGATACCACCTCCCCCACAAAATGTCAGCATTTTCAAAGAAAACAAATTACTGAACAGAAAGAGAAAGTATAATCCGATTTTGCCCCAAATATGCAAATCGTAATATTTGCATCAGTGCTAGGTCAGGTGCAAAAATTGACAATATCGGTCCACTCCATCCAGTACTTCCCACACAAAGGATTAACATTTTGGATAATTATAACTCTTATAAAGTGTGAGGTAAGTATTCGATTGCCTTCAAATTACACACATCATAATATTTTTATAAACCCAAGGTTTGGTGTGAAGATGGGTAATATCGGTGCACTCTTTCTGGTACCTTCCCCAAAAAGGGTCAAAATTTTAAATACCCATGAAGTCCAGAAAACGCGAAATTAAAATTCGATTCTATTCAGACTTAGCATATCTTATTATTTCTAATAACTTAAGGTCTGTTATAAAGATGGTAGGGATCGGACCATTCCTTCTGGTACCTCCTACACAAAGGGTCAAAGTTTTGAATAACCAATACGATTATAAAATCCGAAATAAGCATCTGGTTCTCTTCACATTTCACACATCACAATATTTTTATTAAAACAAGGTCTGGTGTAAAGATGGCATATATAGGTCCACTCGTTCTGGTACCTCCCCCACAGAGGATCAAAATTTTGAATGTGCATGTTACTCATAAAACCCGAAATTAACATCCAAATCCATTCAAGCCGGAATATTTTTCCATCAACACAAGACTGTTATAAAGTTGGGTCACCATTTTTATACCCTCCACCATTCTATGTAGGGAAATTTTATAATAGACCCGATGTCCGGCTGTCTGTCTGTTCGTCTATTGTAATAACTCTATCTTTCGATCGAATTGAGATAG